GGTGAACGCGGCCATCCAGCAGGCCATCAAGGCCCAGCCGTCCACGTCACCCAAGAAGGCGCCCCTTGTGCCCGAGGCGGAGTCCCCGAGTCCCGTGGCCGTGGCTGCTGGAGGACGTGGGACTCAGCAGCGAGCCCCTGCCGAGAAACCTCCCCGGCTGCAGTGGTTTGAACAGCAGGCGAAGAAGTTGGCGAAACAGCAGAGGGAGGAGGAGAGTGAGGAGGACCTGGATGGAGATGGTGAGGGGCGGTCTGGGGGGCGGGGAGGGGAAGGGGATTGACTCCCCACCCCGTAAGTTTACAGATTTAACTTGCAGGTTGGAGTGAGCAGGTGTTATTTCTTAAGTGAAAGTGATGAGTGAGGCTGGTTTTGACGCATTCTGAAGTGGCTTGTGTGGCCAGCATCCCCATAGGGCATTTGTGTGTTTAGTTCACTGTTGTAGATTCAGGGACTGAAACATTAACTGAGGGGTGCGGGGGCAGGGAGGAGCAGTTAATAAATATTTGTAGGATGAGTGGATGCCTTCTCCATTTTGAATGAGGTTTTTTTAATTTTTCTCTTTTTTAAAATAGAAGTATAGTTGATTTACAGTGTTGTATTAGTTTCTAGTGTACAGAACATATGCATATGAGGACATGTTGCTGCCGCACCGTCTGCTGTGGAATGTCAAATTCTTTTGGGTTGCTGGTTATGATGGCTTTGCTTTACTTTGAAGTGTTCAGAATCTGCTGGCTAACCTGAAATGTGAGCTTGGAGCCAGCAGCCTAGCCACCTTGACTTGATGAGCTATATTTCCCTCATGCCACATACCATTAACACTAATTACGTGAGTTCACATGTGCATAGCAAAGGAGCATACGTCTCCTTCAAAGGGTTTACTGTGTCCTGGAAAAGAAAGACTAAAGCATTTCTTAGCCATGCAAACTTGTCTGTGGTAAATGAATAACGTTTGAGATCTTCAACTAACTCTGTTTTTCAAATCTCTGGCTGGAAGACTGGGAAGATCTTGATTCTGATGAGGAATTGGAGTGTGAGGATGCTGAAGCCATGGACGAGGAGGAGGAGCAGGATGCAGAGGAGGAAGAGACTGGAGTGAGCGCCCCCATTGGCGCCATCCCCGTGACGGACTGCTTATTTTGTCCCCATCATTCAAGCTCCCTCATGAAGAATGTGGCGCATATGACCAAAGTCCACAGCTTCTTTATTCCTGACATAGAATATCTTTCGGATCTTAAGGGACTGATTAAATATTTGGGTAAGTGTAATAGTTTTTCTTTTTAATAATGAAAGATCGCAGTATTGGGGGGCAGGTCTTAAGGGAACATGAGTTTTGTGTTTCTCATCCATCTTGGATTGAATGATCTGCTCATTTTGTGAGAATCCAAAACTTGATGCATATTTTTTGAACTGTGGAGATAGATGGTGAGATGTAAGCTGGCTGCAAAAAGCTGCTTTCATATTTTTCTCCTCAACTTACTTTTCCAGGAGAGAAAGTTGGTGTCGGAAAGATTTGCTTGTGGTGCAACGAGAAAGGGAAATCCTTCTACTCCACGGAAGCTGTGCAGGCTCACATGAATGACAGGAGTCACTGTAAGCTCTTCACAGATGGAGACGCTCTTTTGGAATTTGCAGACTTCTATGATTTTAGGTAAGTCTGTGGTTTGTAATGTGGGGGGGAGGGTGGTGAGTTCATCCCATTTGCTCTGAAGTGGTGTAGATACGCCCAGGCCTGACCTTTGTCTGGCTCTGTCCAGTGCAGGATTCTTGGTACCTCTGAGAACACTTGCATAGGAGGGGGTTATTTCCTGTCATGTTGTAGCTGCGAAACTGAGTGTCACAGAGTTAAACACACATACCTGATAAAGAGAAGATGTCAGGGCCAAACTGAAGTTTGTCTGATTTGAAAACTTGTTTTTGTGGTTTCAGTGGTCAGAAGTTCAGCTTTGCCAGTGACCTCATGAACAGAGGCCTGGAAATGAGGTTTCACATTTTGGTTTCCCTGAGAGTCCTTGAATCACAAGCTGTCTCCTAAGGGAGTCTGGATGGGTGGCGGCTTTCTAAGTCCCACATCATGCCACACATTCATGCTAGGCACTGCGGAACATCTGGTTCCTAGTGTCCAGATGCCTATGACCTAGCACAGGTGTGCTGTGCAAGCCGGTGTGTGTAATGACCATGCCAGGTGTGCAGAGCCCACCTGATACGGGTGTTCAGAAAAGTTCTAGTCTTATAAATTGTCCTTTTGCCTTTTCGTCCTGATTTCTCATTTCTCACTTGTAGTGAGGGAGAGTTTTTCATTGT